TTAGATTTGCTAATTATCTTAAGAAAGTTTAAGTTTTAATCACCTAAATCAAACGTTTCATGAAATACATCGAAATATAATATTGGGAAACCATATTCACAAGCGGAAGAGTTGGTCAAGCATGTTTCAAAAACTACTTCAGATCAAACAAAACTTTCAGCTCCTAGCCCAAATTAAAGACACAATTTAACTATTACTGTAAGTCACAAAGTACACATTAAAGAATAGTTTATCCTCTGTTACTATATAAAATATATAATTTATCTTCATAAGATCCAAATATACTGCATTCACTCTTCACACTATACACTGCATGTGCACAAGAACACAAGCATGGGTTAAGAAAATGGAATGGGATTCCAGTACCTTTGATATATTCTCATCAGAGATTCATTGATTTTAGTACAGGGAGGTTCACTTTACAGCAGCTCAGATCCAGAACTGCACTGCATCATTTACCTGGCTCTAGCAGTATACAGTGTGTCACACACACGTCTCACTGGCCAAACACATTTTAATCAAATATATCTTAATGGAATTAAAGACACTGCTAGCACATTTTTCAAATATTCCACAAGGACCACTATATGTTACAAAACACAAATAAAAAAAATCAAAAGAAAAACTGAATTCAATACATTTTGATAGTTTGAGCAGATCATTACTTATAACACCAAAACTGGGAAAATCCGTCCTTTGAACTGAAAAATAAAGGCTTTTATTTAACTTTGTCTGCTCCTTGCATCTTCTACTCCATTTTAAGCCTTTTGTGCCACTTTTGTAGTTTTTTATCCTTGTTAACATTTTTTCTTACTGTGAAGTGCTTTGTGAAGCTACTTTTAACGGTGCTACAGTATATACTGTAAAATAAAATTTATTATATATTATATAAATAAAGGCCAAAAACACACTTTAGGTGGATCTGCTTGAAATTTAAAAGATTCCTTTGATGAAAGACAGATTTCCATTGGGCATTTAGAAAATATAACATTCTTTGAATTCTTGGCTTTGGAGACACCCTAATTTGTGAAGCTACTACTGAGTGCTTAAGCCTATCAAACAATTAAAAACAAGATTACTAAGAAATAGCTTTATGTATAATATTAAGTTTAAGTTATGAAGAATGCAGAATCTAGCTCTTTCTGTGCTGAAGAATGAAAGTTAAAACAATAAATAAGATCTTACTGAAGGGAAAGCATTATTTCCAATGATGTACTGTACTGTACATTATAAAGCAAAGAATTCACCAATTTTTATGCTGATATATTTATACATGGTTTCCAACATATTAAAATTTAAAGAGCAATTTAATTAGTTCTTTACGGTAAACTCACAAAATTATATGCCAAACTCCCTACAGCATCAATTTAAGATTCATGTTAAGATAAATGTGTTCCATTATTTTACAAAGAGAATCAAGGTAAAAATTGTGACTCTATTCTTGTGAAAATGAACATTCTTAAAATCAGTACAGAATTTTTCATCCTTCTTACAGTAAATTGCTCTTATGGTATACTATGGGCTTAAATAGGTATATTTTTACCTGCAGTTAGCATTGCAATTAATCATCCATCATCCAAAATTCACAGGATACAAGAACATGCAAATTACACATACACTGGACAAAACTGCAACAAATATTCAGGAACTGACTGCTTAAGTTGATATACAGCATGAACATTCCATAGCACCATTAGGATTGCAAAGAAAGTAACCTTAATAAAGGTGACAAATGTCTGAGACTCCAAATGTTTCCCAAGAGCGATATAAGCACGAGAAATGGTCTTATTACAGCATCTCTAATGAAATGTTAATGTATACAATCCACATATATAGTTCTAAATACCACGACTCAGAAAATAATCCAAGATGTCTTTGTAGAAATACATTCATGGCACATATCTTCAATGACTTATTAGTTGTAATGAATATAATATTCATTTATTGAAAAAATGCCTTTTGTATTGCAAGATAAAATAAAATGCACAGCTTTTATGTATTTAAAATAATTTGGAGATTACCAAAGTTTTACAGAAATTTGTATTAAAAAATAATTGTTCTGTATAAAAAATTTGAAATGGTGTTCATCCATAATGAAGAATTTAATTTGGTCAAGCGTGATGTAATATGCACACAAAACAGAATTGTGTAGTATGAAATCAATATGCAACACTTGATCACATTTCAATCTTATATTTTTTCCAATTACAAATCACAAGTAAATTAAAATTTGCAGAAAGCTCTTAATGAAACAGAATATTGTTGTGTTAATATAATGCCATTGCCAAAATACCATATAATGCAACTTTTCAGCAGAAGGAAAAAGATGAACATAATTTATGGATCATAGCAGAAAAATTTGTACAACTGTTTATTTATGGCTTGACACTTAAACTGAAAATGTAAGAATTAATCTACTGGTAAGAAAATTCTCCCTTAGGAATTTTGGATACATGGAAAAATAATGCAGGTTACTATTTTTTTTGTCAGTTAACTTAAAATATGTAATCTAGCACAACAAAAAAACATTTATTGTACCCAGCACCAAAAATATTTTAGTGAAAATAAAGTGAACATTTTGATTGTGCATTTTATTGTGAATTTCAACTCACCTCCAAAAAACAATGAACAACATAAATGAGAAAAAAAAGTGAATTCATAAATGTATTACCTTCTGGCTGCTTTCTCGATTAACTGAGTTTCATCAGTGTTTTAAAGATACTAATTACACTAATGAACCCAGATGGAAAAAGTTCTTACAAAATTAAGAACATATGTCTGATGTTCAAAGGTAAAAGACAAAAAGACAGCAATTAATAATAGGAACAGTACAATTTCTTTTACTTTTATTATATGGTAAACCACAGTTCATATCTGGTGTATGCTTATCCCTGGGGTATTCAAAAGAGGTCAGGATTGCTTTCTGGCAAAATCAAACCTGGTCTAATTACTATTGTTCTTAGTGTGCTGTTTTTGTTAGGTTCGTGTAACATGCAAGATTTTGTAATCCCCCAGAAAGATGTCTGATTTAAAAGTAAACAATATTATGGATCTTTCCTTGAACTTAAATGTAATTCATAATTCATATGCCAGCAGCCATATCACCCTGCAACTCACAACTGGCAACCAACTGAAGCTAAGCAGGTGTGAGCCTGGTCAGTACCTGCATAGGAGACCTCCTGGGAAAAACTGAGGATGCTGCTGGAAGAGGTGTTAGTGGGGCCAGCAGGGGGCGCTAGTGATGAGGACACTATACTGTAAACAGGTGTCGTCCTTCGGATGAGATGTAAAACCGAGGTCCTGACTCTCTGTGGTCATTAAAAATCCCAGGGCGTTTCTTGAAAAGAGTAGGGGTGTAACCCCGGCATCCGGGCCAAATTTCCCATTGGCCCTTACCAATCATGGCCTCCTAATAATCCCCATCTATGAATTGGCTTCATTACTCTGCTCTCCTCCCCACTAATAGCTGATGTGTGGTGAGCGTTCTGGCGCACTATGGCTGCCGTCGCATCATCCAGGTGGATACTGCACATTGGTGGTGGAGGGGAGTCCCCATTACCTGTAAAGCGCTTTGAGTGGAGTGTCCAGAAAAGCGCTATATAAGTGTAAGCAATTACTAATTATTACTATTATAACACTCTACATATGAAGATATTACTTTTTCTACACAGGAAAACTCCATTTGGAAAATAAATGGAAAATTTAAAAAGTATGAAAAGAGTTATGGCACTAGCATAGTTTGCAATGATATTACAAAAGTTTATAATACCTGTGGTAGCAATGAGTTGTTAAAAACCATTCCCAAGGCCAGTATTTGAAACAAATGCATTATTGATGGTTGTTACTATAACTAATTATATAATTTTCTGAGACATTGGTTTGGCCACACTGAATTTTAAAGATACATATCCACAGATGAACTCATTATTCATTACAGAAAGTATATTTTAGTGATTCTGTAGTGTTTTTGTCTAGAGCTTAAGTTAAGAAATTTTAAATGACAACATACACAGTCGCCCATGACAAAAAAAAGTTTAGATATAAAAAGTTGTGAGTGGGAACCAAATAGAACGGTATAATATTGTTATAATGCAGAAGAAAACAGCTACACTCCAGTATAGAATGGAAAATTCACAATATTTAAACACAAAGAAACAAAGGATAGTTTTGTAGCAATAAATAAAAAGATTAAGATGTATGAAGTGTTTTACATAAAGACCAGAATATCTCATTATCGCCAGAATGGAGGAGATATAAGATTATTAAATATTTGGTTAAATTAAACATTTGATGTTCATGAAAAGATAAGCTTTGCAGCTCTCTCGTGACACTAATCCTTTGCTGGCACTGGTATGTGCCAAACCCTGTTAAGCAAATTAATGGATAAGGTACAAGTCTACTGAAAACCCTTGTTCTGATAATTTATATGGGCTGGAATCTTTTCTTTCAACATAGCCACTTATTTTATTGCGCTTTTCCTGGTCTCTTGAGTTCAAACAATTCCAAAGCTAAAGTTTCCACAGGAAATCTCAGAATGTTTTTCAGCCTGCAATTCTGTGCAGTCCAAGCTAAAATAATGCTTTGTCAGGGTCAACATATAATTGTTGGCTACATGTTTCCCTCTTCTTTGATGCTCTGGAATGTCAGAGCTCAGCAAATTATCTGTCCACCTTTTGCAGTTTTGGCACATATGTGCTATTATAATTATGAGCTTTACACTGTATAAGCAAAACCTTCCCCATTTTAAGCAGTTTGAGCAGGCAAATGGTGAAAGATCAGCGATGCCCTGATTCCATATCAAATAATCTTTTTGTAAATAACTAAGCACTGAACCTTTGTCAAAGTAAGTTATTTGGAGCATTTAAACTCCTCAATAGCTACTGTCTCTGTAATTTACCAGAATATTAAAATCTGCAGCAAGACATGAATCCCTTAACTAAAACAAAGACATTGGTTTTTAATTTTCTGAAGTAAAACAAAAGTCATCTATAATGTCCTACCTGGGAACTAATGATGTGCTGGGATGAACGCTCTATGTTTGCTGGCAGACCAAAGAAAGATGGTCTGTCATCCTCTGGCAGATTTTCAACAATGTTGCGGTAATCCTAAAATTGAGTATACATATTAGTATCATATCAGTTTGTCATCAAGCCTCTTTGTATTCAATCTTTTTAAAAGACCTAAAGGGACTTTTTCTCTACCTTTCTTAAATGCCCAGAAATAAACTGAATAAAAAAAAAACAATTGTAAACACATTTAGATTTCTTATCAGGAAGCTATTCTACTATGCAATATTTAATTAATTTTAATTTACTGCTACAAAATCATTGTTATTTTTATTTTTCTTCTTTATTGTTTTCTAGGACATTTCTTTGCAGAACTTGAATTTATTACTTTTTAAAAATGGAGTAACCTGTGAAATTCTTTTTTCACCTCCAATCTGGAAATGACCATTATCATCAACTTTAGTTAACTATTACGATTCTCACATCTCACAACTACACACATGAGAGGTGGGAACTTAATGCCTTCCTCTGAAGCATGCACAAGCACTTTCAAGACACCTGCTATTTTTCACACTGCAGGTGCTACAGGGCTTATAACAGAGATAGTATTGAGTGAAAGACCTATGCAGCTCTTGCTGAGAGTGCTACACTGTCACAGGTGCCAATCACAAATTACAGACAACCAAAGACAAATAGCAGCACTTGGGTTTCTGTGCACCACAGTATTGGTTATAGTCACAGCTGGTTTGTGATATAGCTCAAACTCTGACTAACAATAAACTGCACTGTAGGGCTTGGACTATTTTGCTTTACAAATGTGCCTCTTCTGGTTGAGTCCCCAAAGTTTCATTTTCAGTTTCTCATGGAGGTAACCACTGTTTAGATTATCTATCGGGAGGACCAGTAAAATGTCTATTTTAATTAATCTAAAGATAGGTAATGTGATTCTACTGCTACTTAACAAATTTAAGACAATTGTCTAATAAATTGTTTCTAATTTATATTATTCTAATTTCTAAATTAATAAATCTTTCCCAATTTGTTTTTTTTACTAGAAACATGAAACTCCAATATAAAGTGTCCAAACTCGATATGGAAAAAGCCAGACCACTTACTATAATGCTGCAGGAACTAGGTAGAGAGATTTGGAAAGGAAAGGCCGTCAGTTTCTTGCTGCGTGTCTGGGACCCTGTGATAAGTCTGCAGTTAAAAAACTGCTCCAGGTAGGATCTTAAAATGCGAAGATCAAACAGGTTGTCAATACGACCACCGTAGATGGCATTTTCCAGCAGACCGTGAACGAACTCCCACTGCACATCCCTAGATCCTGTAATCCATAAGCAATAGTTTTTGTTGACATCAGTTAAACATTTGATATTCAGGTTTTAGAGTATCATTTAGAGTATCACTGTACATGTAGTGATTTTACCGTCTCAAGTTGTTTATATGTATAGTGTGTACTTGGATAGAAAAATACTTAACTTCATAACTGGATTAAAACAGATTGTCCTAGGATGTTTTCAATACCTGAAAAGTACATGTTACATTATATACTTCAGAAAATATTAAATGTATTTACATCTATAATATCTGCATAGACAAGTACATTTTGGCACCAACCTAACTGAAAAGTAATACATTAATAAATAGTATCCAGTTTAAAAATAGCCTTTTTTTATAAACCAATGGCAGTGCTTCTAAATATCAATTTCTTTCTTGTTTCCTTTACTGACCTTCAAAAAGCCTGTCAATGATATCAAATCCAGCACGAAGATCTGAGAGAGAGAACTCGTAGAATTTTGTCCATCCCTAAAAAAATTCAAGTTAAAAATTGTCAATTGAAAGGTCTTCTTTTGGTATTTCTGTATCTCTGTAAACTCTTCCACCTTTGTAATTTTTTCTTCCACTTGTTTCACATATTTTGAATGTGAGACCAAAGGCAAAAAAATGAAAAATACAATGTTGTAATATATAAGGTTCATAAACATAACTTTTAGTTATGAAGAATTAGTTATAAAGACATGTCAGTTAGTGTGATTATATGGTACATGGTTCAATCTTAGAGTCATGCCTGATAGCTAACCTTCTTACATTGGTAAGTAATTTATCATGGATATCAAATCCTTCATTTCCCTTATAGTCTGGTATGGTTATCAATCTGTTGGAAAACCAATGTTTCAAAAAACTGGAATGACCTGTGGTAAATTTAGTACCGGTCTGGGATGATCAATCCTAATATATGGCAATTTCAGGAGTTCTGTTTGAAACTGCTTTAGTGTAGGTCTGAAATACTTTATAATTCCATGAGTGTCACTTGCAACATGCAATTACTACAGTACAAAAATATCTCCTATTATGCATTGTAGATAAAATTTAAATTCAGAGAGGAAATTACAAATATTTACTTTTGCGGTGTTTAGCCATAGGCTTGATGAAAAAGATTCATAAAACACTGGCATCTTGCATACTGCCATTTACACCTTCTTTACAAATAATTTACCAAATTAGAAGAGATTTTTTTTCAAATGGATTCTACGAATGACCCATCACATTTTTGTTCGATCCATGTGATCCAGATTCTTCTTCAGCTCAATAAACCTATCATATGCTAGTCTTGCAGATGTTTCCTTAGATGTAAATTCATCTGTCAGGGATGGAACATTTTAATTTAATTTCATGAAGACCCTTGGGCTATGTGTGGCATTTTCAATCAGTTTTGAAAGCTGAAAATAACTGCTGATTTGACTGGCATGTGTGTTCTCTGCGTGTGGAGATTGAGCTGAAGCAGACTGTTGGCACTGGACCCCCAGAACGCAGAACACAAAGACGAAAAAATAAGCCATTGGAGTAGATTTAATCTTGAACTGATCTCAATTGAAATTCCCCATAGGGTAACAAGAAATGACATGCCCTTACACATGGAAATATAAAAAAGGCTGCATATGTAAATACAATCATATTTATACAAATCTTAATGCTAATGAATCTTGATCAGTTAAAAGAAAACACATTTAATTGACATTTAAGCTTATGTCTTAAGCCCTGCTTGAACAGGGAACAATTATAGCGATCATAACGCGACCAAAACTAATTGAACTGTATTTTGGAAAAAGATAAAACATTTTCAAGTCAGGAGCAATACTCATTGATTGAAAAACTGCTAATGTGTTGTCCAACCATCAACAAAGATATACTGCAAAATGAGTGACAAAATCGACCCAAGAAATTACAGACCAATAACTCTTCTTTTATACATAAGGCTACACAAATGAAAACTAGAACTTAAGAAGAGGACCATCTGTATTGCATTAGAATGAAATAGTAAACATTGATTTAGAAAAGTAATGTCTTGCTTAACTATCTTTGATTTTAAACAGAGAATATGATAGTATATTTAGTAATATGATAGTATATGATGTATATACTTTATGTATGATTCATTGGTCAAAGTCAGACATGTCAAACTGAATCCTATTATGTGTGAAAAAGCTGCTAGTGACAGTTAACTAGAACTGAACAATTCAGTTTGTTCAGTGTTAAGAAACTATAAGAGCTAATGAATATTTGTTCCCATAATGTAGCAAATTCATACTCTTAAAACACATCTAAATACATTGAATATTTTCCTTGTTTGAGATTTTTTAATTTATAACAAACTTTCCAGCAACCACAAAGTGCCAACTCATTAACTATTTTCTTACTTTGATTTTGGTCTTACGGGAGGAAGAATACGTACTTGAGGGATATAATTCCTTCTTTCTTGGCACACTGCATGGAACCATGCCAGGCAAAACAGGGACTGAGCTCGAGGCACCAGACCTTTCTTGCTGATCTGTTCAGGGGACCAGGATTCATATGTCCTCATCAAGTTCTTTTTCAGGCCTGGAGGGGCCTAGGAACAAAAAAGTGATTAGAATGTTTACTCTAAATCCATTTTATGGCATATGGAATCTTTTATCATTGACTGGATGCAATAAAATGTTTCGTTCCGTTTTTTTGATTAAAAAAAAAACTGTGTTCATTAATCCACTTCTGTATCTTTTCAAATCTGTTCTCTATGATTCAAACAAAGGAAAAAATGACATACAATATGGAATGCAAATTTAAAAAAATCTGAATATTTCTTGTAATACACATCAGCGGTTCGAATGCACCTTTCGTAAGGATTGTACTACCCTGAAAAAAAAAAAACACCTTAAGATGCATGTAAATATGCATCTTAACACCTATAGATAGCACTATAATGCTATTTCAAGAAATGGTTTCATAACATTATCGACTTTGTATAGAAGACAGCAATTATTTTCTCTATAAATAAAAGATCAGAAATGCATTTTTTTTCAGTTACCCCAGAATTTTTTTTAGTCAAGTGTCTCACACTATGATTCTTGGCAAGCAAATTTCCTTCTAAAGGGCCCTGTTAGATGCAATATCCATAGTCAATATACTGATCTTATATTGTAGGGGAAATAAATAAAGCCTGCTTGAGCCCTTTGAAGACTCTTGATTCTCAGAATTCAGTATGCACTAAGGAAGTGATAGCATAATTATAGTTATTTTTATTGAGTACCTTAAGTAAAATGGAGATACTGTATAAGATCATTTAATTTTATATTTTTATATTTAAATTAGAGAGTGAATAATGAGTAGCTTCTTAACTCCTCAATTTGGAATCAACAAGTGTTAATAGTTTGAGCTCAGTGCTAAGATATACAGTCCCAGCTTTTGCAAAAGCTGAACCACCAGGCATTCTGCTTTTTTTCACACTGTAAACCCACATCAAAACACAGGAGAGTTAAGACATTAGAACAGGAATTTAAGGAAGCTCTTGGTAGTAACAGTGCAAACTCATGGGAAACCAGTCAAATACAAGGGAACATTGTTGCATAGTTGTTTGCTGAGGTGAGGAAACCTTGACCACTTTTGCAGCCTTCCAACCCCAACCAGCTGTACACCAGCCACTGGAAGCTCATGGTCACAGACAGCCCAGAGTATAGCTGGCAGTCTCAGAAACACAGGGCCCAGCAACTGCCCTGAATGAAGGCCTAAAATGACTTTATTTTTGTACTGTATGTGCTGAGCAAGTTGATTTCACCACATTTTACATATTTAATGTTTTACCATTATTGTTAAAACGAGCATAATAATACCGAATGTCTAATATTTAAAATGCTTAAGCAATTTGATTCCGTAGAATATGTATCAGGATGAAATGAATACAATAAATATTATGGTTTAACTCGGTGGCACAGTGGTAAGCATCGTTGCCTCATACTTCTTGGGCCCTAGGTTCAGTTCCAGACCTGGGCTGCTACCTGTGTTCACAAGGGTTTCCTCTCATAGCTAAAAACATACTGGTAGGTTAACTGGCTTCTGGGAAAACTGGCTCTGGTGTGACTGTGTGTGTGTGTGCTTGTCTTTGTGTGTGTATGTGTGCCCTGTGATGGACTGGCATCCCATCAAGGGTGTACCCTGCCTGGCACCACTTGCTTGCCATGATAGGTTCCAGCTCCCCCACAACAGTGAACTGGCTGGACTGTTCTAAATATTACAAAATATTACAAAACACTTGTACCAAGTGGGTATGCTTGGTTGTCTAATAATAACTTCATAGACGTCAATGTGCTAAAACAAAATGCCCCATGAAAAGAATCCCTTTTTGTACCTGAAAAGATACAAATATTTATAAAGCATCAGGTTGGTAGTCCACAACAATCATGTATTCTTGATTTACCTGTACATTGTTCATGTATGACAGTTTGACACCTGTAGTTCTTATTTCTATTGTAAAACCAATAAAAAAATGTAATATATTAGATATAGTTGTAGCCCATAGCAGTAGAGAAAACATGCTATTCCACCACAACAACCAAAAAAAAAACATTTTGACTATTTGTTTGGCTCAAGCTGTGAATATTTAAAAGTGAATACAAAAAACAAGTTTAAAGTGAAATACAAAAAAATTGTCAACTGGACACCTTGCTTGCAGTGACAGGTAAACCAATAAATATCAACAGTGCAAAGATGGGCAGTGCATACAGAAAGAAACTGACAGACTGAAATAATGTATGATGGTTAACGCTGTAATGTAACACAAGGAAGGTATAACCAAGTGACATACAGTACTCAGTATCTGGATAGCATACACTATTGTGCTCACAATACAAAGCTGGAATGTTTGACAAAAGCCTGGGCTTTCCGGTTTTCAAAATGCTACTGCTACTATTACTTTGTTACTTCTGCAAGGCAATGTCAAAAAATGAACATGTTTAAAACCTTACCTCATACGTAATCTTCAAACTGGACTGAAGTAGTATGGGAGTGAACTTTGGATGGACTTCAGCTGTAAGCCAGAGGCGAAAGCTAGCTTTGGGTTGAAGAGCATTTAATTCCTGAGACAAGAGGGTAAAATTAAATGAAAGAAGCAATCACTGTAATTATATTTACATATTGTTCTAATTTTTACGTTTCTTTGGCCTACTTTTACACCTACAGTAGGATTCTTTGCATGCCTTTGAACTGTGCACTTGCAGATGCGTTCCGTTTCATGTGGTTGTTTCTCTAAGCATTTTAACATACAATTAATATATAAAAATATGCTTTAGTATAAAATTAATTTTGTTTGTATTGCATAAAAGGAGGAAACGTCAAACATCAGTTTTAGTTTAATTGTAGGGCATCCAGTTGACTATTTTCTGTTTGTAAAAACAGATAAAATCTATTCATTCATAAGGTAAAGAACTGCAGCATCTTCCCACTATATACAGTACTAGCACATCTTCCAAAGAATACCACATTATTATTTGCACTACTGCAGAAAAAAAACTATGTATTCATATTCAAAATGCAGCCTGGTCACTGAAACTAGAACATGAGAAACTACAAAATGAGGTAAATGGAGAAATGGAAGCTCAGATATGTGCAGTGCCAAAATACTGAAAATAAATCAAAATAAGTTTTTGTGCCTGAAACATCCTGTTCATGGTTAAATAAAACAAATCTGGTAGATGATTGCCCATACAAATATGAACTTAAATATAAATTGTATAATACTTTAAAGGAACAAATAAAGCTTTATTCCAAGCTGAAAAAGAGAAGAAAGGGAACACAATGTTTTGGCTGTGGAGCCTTCTTCGGGTGTAAAATGTTTCTTTCTTTTCTTTTCAGCATGGAATAAACCTTTACTTGTTCCTTTGTAGCCTACGCAATGCTGACGCAGCTAGCTACTTGAACTATTTCATACTGCATAGTACATAAAGAGATTATATTCCTATATAAGTGTTATAATACAATCTATGTTAATAACAGAGAAACAACATACAAAAGCAATTGCTCCAGAAAACACCACTGCACATTACTTTAGGGTGGGGGAGAGTATTAAATCAGCCAGCACAGACTGCCAATATACTTTTATTGCTTCAGTAGGCCTGAGAGATCCTAGCTGACACCATGCCATGGATCCCAATGCATAATTAAACAGGGAGCATTGATTACAACTACTTTATTATAAGATATAAATTTGGCAATTCTGTTCATCTTGGGATAATAATTGTATAATATTTCAGTGATAATACTAATTAAAATGAGCAAAGCTAAAAAATTGATTCAATGACATTTAAGGCCTCTGCAAATTTCTAAAACCAAAGCAAGTGTTATTTTTGTCAGGTGCATTTTGAAATGCAAATTAAACAAAGGATAATATTCTGAAAGGTGAGAATGATAGAGTGGTTATTTGCCTAACTACAGCAAACAACTCAGAGGCCTCCCGAAGCAGAAGAAGATGGAAATATTTTATTCATAATAATCATTTCTGGCTATAAAGCAGATAATTCCCCTGAACATTCATATTCACTGTAACACTAGACATGTCATTCAAAATTAGTCAAGGTATTTAATGTTTTTTCACATACTGTATGTAAACATCTGTATTTCCTACATTCTTGACAGCTGATGGTACAGCAGTGTACTATGACCATTAATTAAGTTACTCAAATGTTTTCATTTTTACCTATTTTTATTAATTTCTAAATCCCTCATTGATACCATTGCACTTTTTCAAACACAAACGCAGAGATCGATCCTTGATTTGAGGAAACAAAGACAAGCTTCTTTAAAGAAATACAGTATTTACTAAACTCATGATTCATCTTAAAACAGTTTAACTTTCAACTAAGTGGTAAGAATCCACTTTGATTAGATAAAAAAAGCATGGGATTATCATGGAATAATGAACCAAATACTTTTCCTTGTTTATTTGTATTCAAAGAGGTCTGACATTTACCTTCATGACAGAATAATACAGAATGTGCTTGATTGATTCTTTAGTTTTTCCTTCCTCGTGAAAGACTAACATCTCTGAAGATTTTTTAAGTTATACATGTCGCGTTATCCCACAACAATAGGGGGAAACACAAAGAGTGTTTCTATTATTCAATTGTGTATATACTGTACTGTGAAACCCACATGCAAACTCCATGCTGATAGCACCCCAGGTCTAGAATTGAACCCAGAGCCCCAGAGATTAAATGTTAACCACTACACCACCATGTCGACCCTTTTGAGAAAAATATTATTCTAACTCATATTAAAGGAAAGAAACCTCTTCCCTTAGTAAACCTCTTTAAAGCAAGAGTAGCTTCCCCTCATGGAATTAGCCTGTGGTGACTAACCATGTCCTCCTTGTACTATACTGTATTCTTCAAATTGTTACGCTTTCATTTTCCTTTACAATGAAATTAAATAAAGTGTTAAAATACTTAAGAGGGTTCAGTGGAGGTAACTATTTCCTCTGAACTTAAAAAAAAACATTTTAGTAGCTAAAACACAAGATATTCTGATGGTAGAAAAGGCTTTATCCAGTAAATTTATTGGAATTTGGAATCTAGATATAGATTTCAGTTCAGCACTTATAATGGCTTCATGTTTTACATTTTACTAAGGACTAAATATTGTTTTAACTGTAAAAGATCCCCAGGGAAATTGCTGTTGCAAATCTTATTGCCCCTTTTGGAAGACTTGTTATTTACACTGCACTTTTTTGTTTTCGCTTTTATCATGTTTCTTCACAGATTCACCCTTGGTTGCACAGAGGTGACACCTACTTTTCTGTGTTGTAATCTTTCTGAGGCAGAAACAGTCCAGAGTAGCTGCTCACTCCCCCTTGACCAGTGTTTGAAAATGCCAGACCTGAAATCTTTGCACAAGCCTTCCTTCAGCAAAACTGGTCTTAGTTATAGCAGACTTTTTTACTTCTAATATGGAAGCGAAGTTTAAAATACAAGCCTCAAGCTTCCGTGAGTATAAATGAGAGCAAAGTTCATATAACATTGGATTAAACCATTAAATCATTTCAGTCAGACACAATGGTAACCAATGAGTTACCATATACCTGTGTTATTTTATATTTAAATATGAACCACAATGTTAACCCTCTCCGTTTGGCTAAAGTAACATATTTCTTTGCACAAATATTCAGTTCTCACTGATTTTCAGGAATCACCTTTAAACACTGCCCTAGCACGAACTTTCATTCCTTCAGCTAAAGAAAATGATCCTTTTTGTAGTAATATTAATAACCATAAAAACAGAACTGCACTGCCAAGTTTTGGAGTTCTGGTAAGGATCATGCCTTAGTATATCCCTTGTACACTACACAATAAATAACATAAGCTTTCCTGTCAAAGACAATGACCTTCTGTATTATCAGGTGTACAGTTGTTTGGTTTTTAATTCTTTCAAATCTGAGCTACTAATTAAAAAAATACAAAACTTATCTTGCATTGAGACATTTCTACGTAGTCCTTAATGCTAACATGACTGAACTGCGTTTTAGATATGAAAAAATCACTGCAACAAAATGTTAATCCATGAAGGTACAAATCAGCATTGTGATCGTTAAACTGCGCATTGGTTTGGAATTTGTCTTTTGTTTACTGTAACCAAAGACAATGAAATGTAGAAACTACTGTACTGTACTGTAGAAAGGTACTGTAGTTTGACAGCAGATTTTCTTTAAAAGACCAAGGCTAGCAATATAGCATACAAGATGCTTCTCTTGAAATGGTACTTAAAACACAGAACAGTAACTAAAATGGAAGGATAACACAAGAGTGTTGAAGATATTTGACACTTCTACCTGTAGAAGTCCTGAAAGTGTAAGGTTTTAGAAAAGTTCTTTTTATTTGATGAATAAAAAGGAATTAAAGTGTTTCAGAACTTCGTGCAAAACCATATACATTGTAATAGTTGACACACATTTCACTTCCTCTTCAAATCACTGATGGAGTTCCACAGAGTTCCATCTTGGGCTCTACTCTTTTATTCATCTACATTAATAGGACTGCTTAGGTATCAGACAACTCTCATATCAATTGTTATGCCAACAGGAGCAATTTATACTCCAAACTACTTCAAGATGATCAATTGGCATCTTCTCTTAAAAACATAAAAATAATTTAGATTGCTCCCTTAATAATGCTCACATTTTTTATTCCAAACGATACAAAATTGGAGCATGTCTAAATGTCTCAGTCTGGAGACTTGATTCAGCAACACACTCACCTTTTCTAGCAGGGGAAGCCAGGCTGTAACCAGATGTAGATTTTTTAAACAAAGCCATTCTCCATTGCGTGCACATTCTTTAAGAGCCTGAATGGCTATGTCAGCTTGGCCCTGGCCCATAGCCACCTGCACAAAAAAAAATGAAAAAAAAAACATCACTCAATGTCCAATTTAAGTTGCTGTAAGAAAAGGTAATCTATATCAATCTTTGAAATCAGGGCAAAAAATGCAAAGCATGTTCATATTCAATTGTTTATAGGTAAAGCTGAGCCTACCAGTTTACTGATACTGCAGAGATAGAGAGCTAATCAAAAAATTAATGGTGCCTCATTAACTTTCAGAACTGTTTTATTCTCTCCCTCATGCTTTTGTGAGGATTACACAGATTGGAGTAGGAAATGATGGTATCGACCACAGCTCTTAATTATATGGGTGTTTTTCTCTTCAGCTTTCATTTAGAAAAGGAACCCCAAACCAACAGCCTCCTTCTTGCTATCTTCCTGCAGGCCTGAGATAAGCAGTGCTGTTTGCCTTGACTCAGAGCACAGATTTACCTCATGGTAGCTCTCCTTGCCAACTGTCTCGCTAGCTAGTTCCAGGAGCTCCTGGGAAGGATCAGCCCCAGGTGAAATGATGATCAGGACTGGCTCAATTTCCAGTGTTTCCTTATACATTCTCTTCAGATTCAAAGGTGGTGGAGAAAGCTCTTTCATGCCTTACAGAAAGAAATGAAGCAAAACAGGGGCTAGAATGCACTTTAATGCCAATCTCACTTCCTAAAATGTAAAAATAAAAAAACACTATAGAAATCACAAAGTAAATTCATCAACAAAAAAGGAGCCAGTGCATTGGATCAATATCAAACCACTCAAACTCCTCTCTTATCCTTGTGATTTCTGTTTCAAATCACTGAAAGAAAGTACACCTGTAGCATCACCTGATTACACCCAAGTTACTTTTTTTAATGTCAAACTGAAAATTTGGTTTAATAAATAACTTATATATATATTTTTCACAAATTTAAAGAATTGGAATACCTCATTTATTTTAGAATTTTCAGCAGATTTCTTGTTAACACAAAAAACTTAAATAGAGAAAACTAAAACTGGAACATATTTTGACATTTCACTATAACATCTTTTAGAAACAGTCCCTCACTGGGTATAAAAACCATTCCGGTTTATAAGCTAAATCCATTCAGAAAATATTGACATGCTTTAGAAGTGTTAAAATTTGTTCATCTTCAGATGTGATAATTGTGTAATAACTCTTTAATTACATCCACCCTTACTGTATATATGTAATACGTCTAATGTGAAATTTATTTTTTAAGTAAAAGTTGTGTTCCACTTCCTATACAAATTTACAAAAACATTGTGCAGCATATATGTCATTCCCAAGACTCCAAAGTTATTGTAATCACAGCAATAATAAAACATTGTCTGTTGCAACACTGGACAGTTATACTCAGACCACTGCTGAGCTGCAGTACTATAATTGCTAAGGCAAAAAGTGCATACTATAGATAGTATAGATTTATTACATCTACAGTATAGCCATCACTTTGCTAAATAAATTTCAATCTTTAGGCATATTTGCATTTATAAATCATTTAAAATAACCTGCCAGAGTGTGAAACATCTGAAAAAACGCTAGATCCGATTAGGCCATTTGGGGATCCTGACATGTTAGGTATTTATTACAGTATTAAGAGGATTATACAGTATCTACTATTTAATGTGTACAGTGCCTTGCGAAGATATTCACTCCCCTAAAAGTTTCAGATAGGATTTTATAGTTGGATTCTACTCCACACTGCCAAAGCAAAACAATGATGGTAGTCTATAAATAAATTTGATTTTTAAAGACAATTAGAAGATTCTCAACTGCTTAAGTAGTCTATCCTAAATTGGACAGAAATATAGTATAATAGCCTCTGTCTGAATAATTAAAAGTAGTTTAACTTGACTTCAGAGTAAATACATCTTTCCCATTAATTTCTTTTAAAAAATATTGAATTTGGAGATGTATCTCACACAGTGATATGACAAATTGACCAAGTTGAAACAAAACAGGGATAAAGTGATAGATCAGGAGGAGGTTACTTATGCCTCTGAGAACAGTGATGTCCATCATTAACAAGTGGAATGTGCATCTTATCATCCAGATACTACAGTACATACAGTAGATCAGACTGCCCATCCAAACAGAGCAGCTGGACAAGAGGAAATTGGTTAGGGATGCCACTGTAAAGCCAACAGTGACTTTGAAAGGTTTTCAAAGTTGCACGTCTGAAATGGGATTCACTGTTCATACTGTACACTGACAATACCCCAGTCGCTGCATAAAGCTGGGCTATATGGGATAGGAAGAAGAAAGAGAGAAGAAAGAAGCCTTTACTCCAAAAGATTAATCTTAAATAATGTGGCAGAAGGTTTAACGGTCAGACAAGATAAAATTGAACTTTTGGGCCAAAATACAATGATTACTGTGCATCAAAATAACGGTGCAGGCAAAATAAAGGACATCACCCAGTCCAATACATCACAACTGTCAAGCATGGTGGTAACAGTATGTTATAGGAATGTTTCTCATCAGCAGGAACTGGGAATCTTGTCAGGACTGAAGGACAAATGAATGGTGAAAAGTACAGATGAATCCTACAAGAAATTGAGAAAGAAATTCGCCAAAGAATTGAAAAGAATCAAACCTGGGTTAAAACTTCACGCTTCAGCATGACAAAGACCTGAAGCAGAATACCAAAACCCAGTCAAAGATGTGACAATTTATTAGACAATTGCTATTCATAAACTACCACCTACATATTTGTCAGAACTAAAGTAAAATTTAACAGGAATAGACAAAATTATACCATCTCACTGGTATGGCATAACTGCAAAGATTGCAAAGTGCAAAGATGGCAGAGAAATTCATGAGCACAGTAATTGCTACTAGAGGTACATAACATATTGGGAGAACAATTTAAACAGTATATAGAAATACTTATGCAACTGGTAAATTTAACTTTGTATATCTTTCTTGCAGGTTTTTTTGACATTCTGCCTTCTTCGCCATTTAAAACTGCTCAATTTAATTATTACAGTGGTAAATAAAACTGATTACTTGAAAAAGGATCTGCACCTGTGGCTGGAAGGTTGGCAGTTCAAATCTTGCGGCCGACAGAGGAATCCTACTCTGTTGGGTCCCTGAGCAAAGCCCTTAACCCCAACTGCTCCAGGGGCGCCGTATAAATGGCTGACCCTGCGCTCTGACCCCAGGCTTCTCTCCCTGTCTGTGTGCCTGTGTGTCTCATGGAGAGTAAGCCAGGGTATGCGAAAAGACAAATTCCTAATACAAGAAATTGTATATGGCTAATAAAGTGATCTTATCTTATATTTATTACTTGTAACTGAAATATGATATGATTGGTAGTGGATGAATACTTTTGCAAGGCTCTGTACATTCAAATGATGATAATTTTAGTAGTACTGTTAAGTATTTAATTTCAGGTGTTTTGTACAAATCTCAGTATTTGTACAATTTAATACTGTATATGGGTAATCTCATAAACTAAATGAGATACAGAAATCACTAAAGTGATACAGAATTCACAGATTCACAGAATTAGCTTGAAATTGTTTGGCTAAGGCCATAAAAATGAGACCAAGGGAGGATACATCAGGAATCTACTGCAAGGGTGATGTTGGTCTAGAGGAGGGATGCAAAAAAGTAAAACATTAATAAGGAAAGAGATGAGTGTTACCTATATTTGTACTTACCTAAACTATCAATTTGCTCTCGAACATCTCAACTTCAGTTATTTAAAAATATATGAGATACGAATGTGAAAAGTTGTTCTACAAAGCAACAGAACACTAATCACTGCAGCTTATTAATGAAAAGTTATACTACCAGATTAGAAGTTGCTTTCACTCTCAAAAGACAAAATGAGAGAAAAAAAAACAGACTGTTATTCATATTCAAGTTCCAAATGTGGTCCTCTGATTGTAGGTGTTGGCATAGAGTACCTTCAATGACCTTTTCTCTGTTTCTATAGCAACAGTAAAGAAAGCAGCAGTTTTGCAATCCATTTAAGTATCACTTGTTACCAAATAGGTCACACAGAAACATCACTTTATTTACTGCGACTTGTTTGTGTCAATTAATATTTGGCCAAGGTGAAGCTGCCAGTCAAGGCAGACGATACAGATACAGAACATAGACTGGCTGGAAGCAGTCTCTCAAAAAAAAGTTTAACAGTGAATGCAGTATAAAAATAAAAATTGGTACTACTCTCGATTTAGAAAGAGTTTGAGTTACCCAGCTATTACGTTCCCCTTATGCTGTTTGGTTAACCAAGGCAAAGCAAATCCTAGAAATTTAAAACCTTGCTATAAACCTGCCTTTAACCATTTCGCCCTAGATTCTAATCTTGTCAGATGATGGTAACTACAGATTGCAATTCTGGCTCTTGACAGCAGTTGCATGAGAAACTTTAAGTTGACAGCTGAGGTACAGTAAAATGAGATGTGTGTGTTTTAATGCAATGAGATTTGTTCCCAGGCCACAACTCACCCTTTGCCCCTCCAGCATATAGCCAGCTGACTGCTGTCTTTTTTTTAACAACAGATATTCTGAATTAATAGATTAGAATTTCTTCCCGTTTAACATAAGACATAACTAACACAAGGGGATTAGCATGCTGCTGATTATCTGCAATTGCTGTAGCAAACTGAAATGGCATTTCTGGATTGGTCTGAAAATATGGTTAAGTACTGCTGGGTAGAAAGAGGTTTAAATGCAAATCTTTCATTGGCATAGAATCCATGAGCCATAAATGGGACATCTGAACAGGTTTTTTGTTTTCCATTCATAACTACCACTGTATAAGCCATTATGGTTTGGCTAAAATCTGTTACAAAATAATATTCACTTGATTATGATGATTATTATAATAATTATAATGTTATTATTATTATTTATGAGATTGGTTATATTCAAAACTGTATGAATTGTTCTGTATTAAACAATAGGTATAGTAAAAAAATAAAGAGAGTTTAAAATGTTTCCTTGACAGTCATTCAGAATGATGGGATCTGAAATACAATTTTAATTACACAGGATTTGTATGCAGCATATAACAAAAAACAAAAACAAAGATTCAGATCCTTTTGAAGTTATATTATAATGAAAACTGTATTTTCCATTAGAACACATTTGGCCTTAAACTTTTAAAAGCGAGAAGCATCATAAATAAAATTTAATTAACTGGAAGTTTTTACTCTTTGTTCATTCTTTTCTTTTTTGCCAAAAATAATTAAGGTTCTGATAATCACTGTTTCAGAATCAGTAGCTTTCATACAAAGAAATACAATACAATACAAAAAAGTCCTACAGACTTACATGTAAGGTCACGGGTAAAACTATAATACAGAATTTGGGGCCTACATGACTAACTCACCTTCCACTCCTGATTTTACTCGATCTGCAACAGACTGTGGTTTACTTGTATCCCTGAGCTTCGTGTCACCTAAACCTCTCATAGCCATCTGCCTTGACCTGCAAACACCTTAAAATGAAAGGCACAGCTAAAACAATCTGTAGATTCTGTGAAGAAAGATTAAGAACTCTCCAAGGCCATATTTAAGGTTAATTTTGCTACAAAGCTCTTCAAAATAAGGAGTGTTTCAAAGATATTTATAGCACTAGCTCTTA